GCCCGGATTTAAACTTCTAAAATTATTTTGAACATAAAATATTTCAGTTTGAGGGATGTTAAGGCCTCAAAGAGTAGGTACTTTTCAGGTATCAAATAAATTCCTCTGCGAAAGTTCCGTCGTGAAAACGGCTAATATGCACTTAACCCTCGCATGTGTAGGGGGGGGGGGGTCGGATGGACCCCCCCATGGTTTTTCGCGAATAACTCGCGTAAAAAGCGGCCGATTGCGACGAAACTTTCAGTACCCTCGCATTGATCAATTTTACACCTACCCTGAAAATTTCATGACCCTGACCCAAATGACCTTTGACCTGTGACCTCTTTTCCGAGACCATGTTTGGCCGGAATCGCGATTTCGCGTATGTCGGCTCGCACTAGCCGCGTGTTTGCAAGCTTTTCGTGGTTTCAAACGTTCAAACATGTGATTTGATGTTACTCCCGTGTGTGTCAAGGTCACCTGAAGGTCAGGTCAGGTCATTGACCTTTGGTGACCTCGGGTGACCTCGGGTCACTTTTTCGAGTTTTACATGTTTCTAGGCTAGTTATTGGAGCTGAATTCGAATTTAGCAACCATTTGAACATTTACGAAGTAGTTTTGGTGACTTCGTAACATGTTACGAAGCTGTCAGAGGCGGTTGACACGTACTACGCATACCCGTCACGACGCCTACTGGTTGACCTGACCTGACCTGACCCGACCTGGTCTAAATGCTTCAAGACATCATCTGTGATCAAAACTTACACGATATTCGTGATTAGCACCTCGAAAAACCCCTTAGCAGCCACACTTTACGACTTTCTAACAGGTCCCGATTTTCCCGACTTTGGGTCATTGACCTGACCTGGAAGGTCAACCAATGACCTAGGACCTTAAAATTGGGTATCATCGGCTTCCTCTCGTTACGGGCAACACGCTCGTTTTTTCCGCGAAGCTCTAGCTTGATCAGGGGCCAAACGGCAAGGGGGGGGGGGTCCAACCGACCCCCCCCCCTACACATTAGAAGCTGGCAAACGCCGCACACATGCGAGGGTTAAAGGGACTATCCCACCTTTAACATGGGGTTTGAGTTGAGATAGCCAAGTTTGCGGCGAGGTTCAGAAACCACTATCTATCTAGGTTGCAACCCCCGCGGCCTCTTGGTGTTGAAGAAATTCGTTCCCTTCATTTGAAAATGGGCCTTGTGCAAGGCCCTATCTTCAACATAGAGCGACCGTTAGTGTGACGTCACCTCGTTTAGTCATTCTGATTTAAATGGGTTTGTTCGTTGAAAAATCGCTTTAAACTTGGTCTGAACTTTGTTGTGGTGCCTACAGAGCAAAAAGAATCAGCTTTATGACAGAAATGTGGCCCGGGGAAGGAGGTAATTTTGGGCTGTGACGTCACATATTTGAAAGTTTGTGTTTGGAATATGGGAAGCCTAAGATGTTTAATGAAAAATAAATGCCAGAACCGTGTTCCTGGTCATCCAATCTATAAAGTCGGGCACAATTTAACTGGTTTTAACAACATTTTAGAAGGTGGGATAGTCCCTTTAACATCTTCCTTAGTACTATATCGTCTTCAAAAGTCCCCATTCGGTCGCCGTTGAGATATGCCAAGGAGATTCCCTTCGCGGCTCACAAACGGTACATGTGCGCCGTCCCGTAGATCCAGCGCTCCGCGCGCACAGTGACTGCATTGTGGTGTGATCATGACATATATACTTTCCTCGGGCAGTGATGTTCCCAATGTGACAAAATTTCTTTATTTAATCACTGCTGTCAAAAGATATCGACGTCGGCATTGGCTACATAGGGCTAACATAATGATTGGATACCGCACGTGGGGATATGGCGGTCCACTGACCAGGAGATCGCGTCAAAAGTGGTCAACAGGCTAAGGTTCCACATTTTGTGAACGTTTGCTTCTCGAGGTAGTGTTTTACCCCATCTTCATTGCATAAAATTTCCGTTTTAGGTGATCTAATTCCAGCATCCACAGGTGATTGCTTGAATCGTCTGTGCACTCAGCATTTATATGATAGCTTACAGATCCATGTCTCATTGCTCCTCTGCTGCTTTTATCGGCTGCCGAGTGCTGGATCATGGTGTCTCTACCCTTTTTGGTATACAATATCACAATTTAAATTTTTTCTTACAAACATGGAAAACGGGAGGACGGGAAGCGTATCGGGAACGCTCACAAGATGGTGAATACCTTTTTCCAGAACGAGCCTCTTCTGCTGGGGCACTTTCGCCACGAATCAACAATTCAACACACCTGCACACTGTGCATGTGCCACGCACTTCCCCGTGCTCGTGCCGTTCCTCTAATGGCACAAGCTTTCTTTCTAGCAATACCTAGAAAGCGCCAGTGGGAAGAGAAGTTGTTTCTATGGAATTTTTGTTATTTTTGTGAAAATTCCGCCACTCTTTTCCGCGTTCATGACTTAGTTGTAAGCTCCTTTCTGTATGAAAAAAATAGTCGGTTTGGTCTGAATTTTGGCATGCTCATTCCCAAATGAATGAATATTCACTATACGAAAGTTTGTATTGATAGCCTTAATAGTTTTAAAGATACGGATGATCAATCTTTTTCCAGAAACTAAGTGCACGTCCGTTAGTTTCGGAGATACGGGGGGGGGGCAAAAAAATGCCCCCCCCCCTTCCACCGCGCGGAAGGTGGCCGGGAGGCCCACCGCCTGCCGGGTTAATTGTTTCAGCTCTCTATCGCCAGCGTGTTCGGAGCTATCGGGGAAAAAAACTAGGGGGGGGGGGCGGCACCCACCCCCTCGGCCAGCGAGGGTTATGTTTCAAATGGTTACTTTTTAGTGATCTCAGGTTCAATTGCTATGCATGTTTGTATTTTGTCTTGATCTCTTAACCCGCGACCGCCTGGGGGGGGTCGGATCCGACCCCCCCCCTCGGTTTTTCTTGAATAACTCATGAACCACTTTCGCTATCTACTTGAAACTTGGCATACCTTCTCCCCCATCAATTTGACGTCTCCTGTGCAATTTTTAAGAAAAAATTTCCAAAAATTTTTGAGATATATCGATTTTAGTGACGTAACTACATGGCGTTTTTAGTCAAAAAGTGGTAAATGTTTAAAAAATCGCCAAAAAATCAGGGTTTGAAGCAATTTGCAAATTAAGGACATCAAAAGACGCAGCTCAACGAGTTCTTTAAAATGGCTATCTCGGATTTTCCATAAAATGCGTTTTTAACCCCTAAAAATTCAAAAAACTATATTTTTTGGAAAACAGCTAATAAAATCCAAAATTTTGGGAATTTCCAAAAAATCGGAATATATGTTGTAGAGCTCTATTAGAACATTAGATGTCCCAAATTTCAACTTTCTATCTTGATTTTTGACCCCCAAATTGTAAAAAATAGCTCCAACATGCATAGGGCATGGTGACGTCATAGGCATTTTCGTGAATTAGAGGCACTTCTGAACATCGCATGTGAAAACAAATGGCACCACTAGATTCCTGGGACAAAGCTCGTCTAGAAAAGTGCATTTTTATGTCAAAAATAAAAAGTTGAAAAATTGACCTTTTTTCTTAGCCCTCGTTTAGTTATGTATAGTATAAACGATTTTTTATGCTTTCAATGCACATTTATCACCAGCACAGTGACTTGGGGTCACATATAACCATTACCATCGGATTCGGCGTGAAAAATAAGCCATAAAACATGTGTCGCACGCCCATGTAGCAGAAAGTGAAAACCGTGACCTTTCGTGACCTGACCTGACCTTGACCTGTACCTAGTATGACCCCTATACGCACATGGCACCTTCACTAGGCCTTTGAGGTCATTTTTGGTGAGTTTCGAGCAGCAGCTATCGATTCCGCTGTCCGTAAGCCGATTCATGCAAAACCCCTGAATTTGACCTTTGACCTGACCTTGACCCGAAAGTTGACCTCAATCTTAAAATCTTAAGAGTGCTTTGGGAAGGTCTCGTAGAGACCTTTCGAACGCCGCCTCGCGGGGCTCGATACGACCATTGGTTCTCGAGATAACAGGGGGGGGGTCGGATCCGACCCCCCCCAGGCTGTCGTGGGTACGGAAATAGCCCAGGCGGTGCCGGGTTAAGCTCTTTTTTTGGCAACGGTGTTAAGGTTACGTTTGTGACTTTGAAATTTAGCTGCTTGCATAAGTTTTGCAACAATCAACCATTTGACGTCATTGTGGGCTATAATAGTATAATATAATAATATAATATAATATAATATAATAATATGTATTATAGGTTCAATACTTTGTTTCTGAAGACGTCAATTTCATTTGGAGGGAAGGTTAACTTTGGAGGAAGGTCATTTGGAATAACTTCAACATAACACATTTGGAGGGAAGGTTCTTCATTTCCCGCCTCTACATATATTGAGCGTCTACGGCCAATTGCAGATGTTTGTCATAGGACTGTAAAACACTTCTTGGGCCCGTGCAGTCTAAATAAGCCATGAAACGACTAGTAGATCTCTGAATATTGCCCACGTTGTTGCAATATGTACACTTTGCCATACGCAACATGCGCTGTTAAACGTATGTGGACATACGCTTTAACAGTCGCATGTCCCTTATACTTACATCCTGTGGTACGTTTAGGACGTGGCCTGGCTCGTAAGTACAATGTGCGTACCTATTTTTGTGACATTGTTGCTAAAGTCGTATAAATTCTACAAAAACAATGCATGACACATCGTCCTGACGGAAACAAAGGCGATCTTATGGTAGCATTGAGTGTTGCGTGGTCGTCCATCTTCACCGAACAAATACAGCTGGCCTCAATGGGCTTTCCATCGCAGCAGCAAATGCTAAAAAGAAATGTGAATGGCGCAAACACGATGAGTTGTTTCCATGCACGATACTGGGAACCTGGGCAGCTGCCGAGTCTGCGTGCCTGTTGTCTGCACCTTTACCGGACGTGAGTACTGAGTGCCCGTGTCCGGCCGCTGATTAATGTTTCGGGGGTCACGATACTGCTGCATGCTGAAGACTCCCGTGTTGCAGCCGATGCCTTGTGGCCCTCCTGTTCGACCTGGTCGTCAGAGCTGCGGCGGGTGGGGGTGTACCAGACTGTGCTGAGCACCTCCGCACCGCTGGAGCGACTGGACGGCGCCGTGACCTCCCACCAGGGGCAGACAATGGTGCTGCTGGCCGCCGACACAGACACCAGCCTGGACTTTATCGTCAGGGTCAGTGGCGCTCCGTGGGTGGTTTGTGGGAGCACCCCGTTTGTCGCATTATGACCATATGCGCTCATAATGCGGTCAACTGTAGAGGTCATGCAGTAAGAGCTCAGCTTATGCGGTCATAATTCTGCAATGCCTTGACAACACTAAATGGTAATGACCTCTGCGAAATGTTTTGGGATGGCTATGGAGTCACATTTGATCAATGTCAGTATGATATAAGGGACCTCATATGCGATATGTTGCACGTAACAAAATAGCTTTTAGCAAATGCGTCGAAGTTTTTTTCTTCTTCTTTTGCCGCCCCATTCAAAACGAAATGTGGTTCTAGATTATTTTCGATGCATACAATTCACAATATCCTCACTAAAACAGAAATACGCATGATCAGAAGTGGCCACGGGCTGACTGTTGACTCGGCGCGTCACCACACACGACTCACATTCCACAGCTGAATGGGAGTCACCGCTTGGACGAGTCATTCCAGTTGCTGATGCTGGTCAACGGGACCGACTACCGCGCCGCCCTCGCCGATTGGTACCTTCCAATCAACAATCAGGTAACGCTTTGAGTCGGTATAATCTGAAAGGTAACGGTCTGCAGGTGTGGTGAGGCACATTCCAAATCGTTTTCTCTCTACATATGACGTGAATTGCTATAGCAACTATCGGTGCTAGTAGTTAGTACTCGCCGGCCGCGGAAGCTAAGGTTTTGACTACCTACTATAGATTGAGTCGTTGGGGTCAATGTATCGGGGAGAACAGGACTCAGTGTCGCTAGTCTCGCAATCCTTTCCGTTCCTGGGTGAATACCTACACTCTCTTCAATCGCTGCGGCTCCGTTCCAGCTGGTGCTGGCTGAGCTGTGGCCGGGCTCGGACGGAAGCCTGGACCGCGCTGACCTGTTGGAGACCTACCGTCTGAGTGTCAGTCACCCTGTCCGGTGGCTGCGTCTGGGCCGGTGGAGCGCCTCGGCTGGTCTCTGGGACTGGACCGGAGAGTCTCTGTATGAGAGACGCGGCGACTGGAGCGGTCTGACACTACGGGTGGCCACCAACCAGGTAGGTGGGGGAGGGAGAGGAGAGGAGAGAGAGAGAGAGAGAGAGAGAGAGAGAGAGAGAGAGAGAGAGAGAGAGAGAGAGAGAGAGAGTCAGCACAGAGAGCGGAGAGCATGGGCAGGATTTACAGCCGTTTTCCTTTCCCCGACTCCTTCCATTGCCGAATGCCGACCTCCCCACCAGTGAAATAGCAGGTTAGGCGGGCCCTGACCATCTGCTCCAGCAAATCTTTTCTGGCTCTGGGATGGCTAATATATAAATGAAGGAGACTGGGATTGAAGAAGGGCTGTGTATTAGCCTCATTGATTTGTGATAAACAGTTGTTGATAGTTGATTATCTAAGAAAGATCTTACAAACGGCGGAAGCCAAGAGGACATTTTAGTTTTGCGCTTGACAATTGTTACGCTTCCTTTTTTCTTTTTAGAGGAAAGGAGTTGCAAAGATTGTTGCCGCCTCTGTTTGCAGGATCCACCGTTGATAAGTTTCGAGCCCGGCCCTCCTGACGACGTTGGTGGTTACGTCGGGACCGCCTGGAAGATTCTAGCAGACATTCTGCGCTTCAAGTCAGTTGTGATATTCGTACATTATACTGAAGTAACGTTTTTGAACAATTAAGTTAGCATTTTCAAAATTGCTCCTATAGGGTCATGTAATTCAATACTACCAAAGTGCTTATATGTGAAAAATCAATTTATGTTTGGGTGAATTTTAAGCGCTAAAATAAGCCGATAAACCATCGCACACCAAGCTACACTGATTGCATATATCACCAACAGCTGTGTGTGGTAGCCCCGCACAAGCCCCGCACTCGCTGTCGATCTGCGGCCGACTGAGTCCCGTTCTCGCGTGGGCAGTTACACGACGCGCCTCTCAGTAGACGGCCAGTGGGGCTCCCAGCTGGGCAACGGCTCCTGGAACGGCGTGATCGGTATGCTGGAGCGACAGGAGGTGGACGTGGGCGTCACCACGCTGATATCCACCGCGCCCCGACGGCGCGTCATCAGCTTCACCAGGGGACTGCTGACACTCAGGTGCGGACTGCTGACACTCATGTACTGACTGCTGACACTCAGGTGTGGACTCCTGACACGGAAGTGTGGGTAGCATCCCACGCGACATTTCTCTTGTAAATGAAGGGAGGAAAAACGGCATCACGACTAGGCATGGCTTAACCCGCGCCCCACTGGGGGGGGGGCTATTTATAGCCCCCCTCCCGTTTTTCTGCAATAACTTCCAAACCGCTTGACGTATCGACGCCAAACTTTCAGTACCTTCGGCTGCATTAATTTGACACATTGTGTCAAAATTTGAACTTCGTAGCTACCATAGGTCGGCCGGAAATGACGTCAGAGTGACGTCATGTTCGTCCGATTTCGACGCAAAACATTGAACCACGGCAATCGCTCCCAAGAACTTAGTTTTTAAGCTAGATCCAATTTCTTTGCATGAAAGGACTCAGAATTGACCGCGCTATCAAACTGCTATCTCGGATTTTCAAAATTTTGAAAATTTCGAAAATTGTATATAATAATATTCAAAATTTATATTTTTATATTTTTTTTCAAAACGTTTTTGACTTTTCGAAAAAACCGGAATATATGTGACAGAACGCATTATTATGACTAACTCTAGCAAGTTTTAGCTAAATATCTTCAAAAATGGCCAAGTTATACGCATTATTGCAAAAAAAATCACAATTATTAATTTTTCAAATCACTTTTTCAGTACGTATTTGACATCGTACACCAATATAAATGGCACCATCGTGTTCCTGAGCTCAAACTGCATCCAATAGACACCTTTTTTTTGTTGAAAAATTTTAACTTCAAAATTTGACCTTTTTTGACCTGAAAGTGACCTGACCTAAGCTAAATTCGACTCAAAATGACCTCGAATGACACAGACGACATCAAATTCGAAATCTATGGCCTAAATGGACCATAAAACATGTGTCACGTGACCGACGCATGATATAATATTTTCGTGACCTGTGATGACCTGACCCTGACCTGAAAATCAAAGTACAAGTTTGGTACCCTCAAGGTATCTAGAGCATCTGTTCACGAGTGTGGAAACCAAAAATGAGCCTGATCTGACTTGTAAGACGGCGGCCAGAGCCCAAAGTGTGAACAAGCCAAAGTGCTAATAATTTTTACTTTGACCTGACCTGTGACGTCATCGGTGACCTCGGTCCTCGAGGTCAATGAAATTAGGTTTCCCTCGACAGGTTTTCCGGGGCTATCAGACGCCGTTTGAATTTTGACGATCGGCCCAGTAGTTTCGGAGTTAGGAGGGGGGCTATGAATAGCCCCCCCCCCCCCCAGTAGGGCGTGTTATACACAGACCCCAGTGGGGCGCGGGTTAAAAAAATGGCATTCAGGAAATAGCATGCGAAAGCCTAATCAAATACATTTACCTCGCTCACATCAACGGCCTGCATCTCCGCGCATATACATACATTTCTTATCAAGCTCAATGAGCAGCAAAACGCGTTCCAAATGCTACTGCAAATTCACTTAATCCCGTAGCGTGGATGAACCAATCACTTATCCAGACATTGCAGCAGCCTCTCTTCCGATCGATGCCGGCTTTGTCTGTTTACTCGGCTCTCGCCCGGCCCGGCCCGCCGTCAGGTACCGGGTGTTTGTGCGCCAGTCGTCCACGCTCGAGTACAGCTGGACCACCTACGTGGCCGTGTTCTCGCCGCCGCTGTGGGCGGCGCTGGTGGGCTGCGTGCTGCTCGGTGGCGCCGCAATGGGGCTGCTCTGCCGGCTGGAGCAGCGCCACCTGCCGCACCTGGCCGGACCTCACGGAGGCACCCACTGGCGGGACGCGGCCCTGTTCTGCATCGCCGCTCTCTCCCAGCAGGGTAAGGGTACGCTAAAGGCGTCCTGCGGCCGATTTCATGAAGCTTGGTAGTGTACCCTTTAGAAGCGGGTATTAGGATCAGGGAAGGGGGGGGGGGGGCGTGTTATGCGCCAGTTGGATGCTTCCGTTTGTCTGGCACCGTATTTTACGACATGCACTACCTAAATTATAATTAATAGCATTATATGTTCACTTCCACATTTTGCTTTATGAAGCAGTTTGGACGTTAAGTTCAGCAAAATTGGAGGAAACTGCCTCAATCGTATTTGACGCCGTTTTATGAAATCATCCGCTAGTGCTGGCTGCAACATGTGGATGGTAATCACATTACCTAATTATAGACAGGTGTCTGTATAAAGTCGCCAGCTAATTGGCAAACAGTGCGGTGTGATATCTGCTCACGCCGCTGATTACCGGGACTGTTCCCCCTACTCTACGCGCCGTATTTTTATTAGTCGTGTACGTACCTACATGCCTTATGCCTATATCCCTAACATGGAGGGCTTTCATGGTAGGCGCCTGACGCATGCTGTACCGCACTGCTCAGTATTTCATATACGAGTATCTGCCGCTAAATGTCTCCGACGTCAAACGCCTGACACATGCTGTGCCGCAAAACTCGATGCTTAGTTTCCCTATCGCTAGATGTCTCTAGCGTCAAACGCCTGAGACATACTGCGCCGCAAAGCTAAGCATTTCATAACCTCATCGCTAGATGTCTCTAGGGTCGAGCGCCTGGCGCATGCTGCGCCGCAGAACTCAGTATTTCATATATCTACCGCTAGATGTCTCTGACGCTTTACGCCTGACTCATGCTGTGCCGCACTGCGCAGTATTTCATATCCTTCCCGCTAGATGTCTCTGCCATCATGCGCCTGGCGCATGCTGTGCCGCAGAGCTCAGTATTTCATATCCTTACCGCTAGATGTCTCTGCGCTATGCGCCTGACGCATGCTGTGTCGTAAAACTCAAGGTACTTCATATATTTAACGGTAGATGTCTCTAGCGTCAAGCGCCTGGCGCATGCTGTGCCGCATGGCTCAGTATTTTACCCTCGCCGATCGAGGGGGTACCGCCACCATAGTTTTTTTTTCTCCCGATAGCTCCGAGCACACCGGCGATAGAGAGCTGAAACTTGGCATACCTGATCTTTGATCCAAGCCGCATCTTGCGACACCAACTGCGTTTTCAGGCCAGGCCAGGTCACTGACCTATGACATCATAGGCGAACCTCTGCACGCTCCTCAGTTGTCGCAACTTCGCAACGCACTCAGTGCCAGGAAACTTTCACAGGGAGATGAAACTTACAGGGTGTAGTATCCTCGTGAGGTCTCACAATCTGTACCCCTCGGATTTTTCCTAAAGGTTACATGAGGTCAGGTCGGTCACGTGACCTCTCCGTTATAAGTCAATGAGGAAAAATTAAAACTGCTATTTTGGCGCCGGGAGCGATCTCAAACTATTTCAAGCACACGGAATAATGATTTCATGTACTCCCTGCACAGTCCGATGCTTCACTTTTGCATTGTTGACCTTGCATGACGTCATTCATGACGTCACTTGGGTCATAATAATTTTTCGTCAATAACTCCCGATCAAATTGAGCTAGCGAGTCGGGAAAGCCACCAATGAACTCAGATAGACCTGCCAAATCGAGTTGGCCAAATCTTTGGCCAAATCGATCCAAATCCGATTCCAAAATCCGATTTGGCCAAATCCAAATCAAGCCAAATATTTCATGGGTTGTGCTAGTGAGCCAGTGGGCACGATTCAGCTATAAAATTTTGTTGAAAGGCAGTTGGAAATGCGGCAAATGGAAATGATATCTTTTCTAGTTTGAAACTGTTTGAAAAAGACCTGTGGTCGAAATATTACATTCTTTCAAATAAAGTATATATTTTTACAGCATTAGTTTTGATAACTATCGAGGGAAAAAGGTCATGTTTTTACATTTTCTACTATTTATAAACATGTTCCACGCACAAGCACTAACCTCATTAAAGAACTTCAACAATTTATACATTAACCGTTTACCCGTTGCGCGTCGTTTCCATCTCCAGAATATTCATACCAAACCCATGTCCTCTACGCCGCAACCCCTGATCCGGGCTGGCCAGTGGACAGCAACTTTATGCCATGTGGGCGGCTCCCATTGGAGCGGCACCGCAGCTCCTGAGGAAGCCCACCCGTATCCGGGTGCAGTGAGCACTTGGGAGGCTGGTCGGCCTGTTCATTTAGATGGGCTTAGCCCCGAAAACTCACTAGGGTTCCTGCCGAGACCAATGCCTCCCTCTAATTCCTATCATCCTCCCGGCTCTGCAATGGTCTCATTGGACCGAAAGGGTCTACCCAAAGAAAACAAAACAAACACAAAATTTACCGTTATATGTTTCTCTTGTTCAACGCCTGAACCATGCTGTACCATATAAAACATAAGTTTATTTTCCGCTTCCCCTTCGAGCTGCCAGCAAACATAGAGACAATTAGCTATGCTATGCGTAACCAATCTCAGCGCAAACCTCACAACCAACTCCCTCCAGGAAAACACTGTAGCTGTACAAAAAGGGGCTATTGGTATATTCAGCCCAAATGAACACGACACAAACATACTATAGCAAGTATACATGTCTCAACCGAGACTGCCCTGCCAACGGGCCGCCACCCCTCCCCCCGCGCGGCGCAATGGTGTCCCCACCCAAACTAGAAACCCTGTCGTGTGTGTCCTCCCCCGGAAAAAGTCCTAACTAGAAAAAAACCGGGGGACCTAGTTGGGGAAAAAACCACATTTTGTGGAAAAACCCATCTTTATTTAAGAGTGTGGTGCGTGTAAAAAAAAGCCCCAAAATGGTGGTGGGTGGGTGGGAAACGCAAAAACATTTCAGAGCGAGAACACTGCTGACTTGCGTCAGACCGGGCGGCTTAGAACAGAGTGACCACGCAAATGCACTCAAACCCCGCGCCATCACCGTCACGTGACACGAGTCGCTCCACCAATCAGAGGAGGCCGCCGCCTTAGCGGCCTTGCCGCCCGGGGGCGCAGGCGGCCGCCCGCCTGCCGCCGAACGCTGCTCGCAGAGGTCGGCCCGGCTCCGGGGCCGCCCCAGAGAAGACGCTCGTAGTGTCGCGGAAAAACCGGTTATATCTTGTCATATATAACCGGGCGTATTTTCCGCTTCCCCTTCGAGCTGCCAGCAAACATAGAGACAATTAGCTATGCTATGCGTAACCAATCTCAGCGCAAACCTCACAACCAACTCCCTCCAGGAAAACACTGTAGCTGTACAAAAAGGGGCTATTGGTATATTCAGCCCAAATGAACACGACACAAACATACTATAGCAAGTATACATGTCTCAACCGAGACTGCCCTGCCAACGGGCCGCCACCCCTCCCCCCGCGCGGCGCAATGGTGTCCCCACCCATTCAATACATCCACCCAGACACCAATGCGCCAAAATAAAACACCCCCTTCCCGAGACCAGCAGACCGAATGTGGGATACAAATTAACACAAAAGACCTATAGTCGCCGCCAGTGTCGAGACCAGTGGCGGAAACCCACCCAAATACGTGCTTGGTTGAAGGTAGGTAATTATTTTCTCAACCTGGCCCGAAGCTTACCAGAAACGCCACGATCCCTAAAACCTGCCAACATGGATGTGAGCGATACAGCGGTCACCATTGAACAACCATATTACGCCATTTATACCGAAGCCCTTACAGCAGGACGAACAACCAGTAGCATTAGCCACTACTGCGATGATAGCCTCCACCAACTAAAGGCCCTCGATATACCCGCCGAAAAAAACCATCCATGAGTTCTGAGGCATCTGACAACAGAAGCTGTATTTTCCTTTACCTTGAACCCTATGCACATGCCTGTCAGCGCGACCATTAATTTTCCCAGAACTTTTGAAGGGATTAGAACAGTATCAACGGAGGACGTTGACAGCCGCCCAGCAAAAAAAGGGGAGGGCTCTCAGCTCGCTCCAGGAATCAGCGCTCTAAGCCGCCGTAAGGACACCCGCGCTACCGAGCGTCCTAGTGGCAGCCACCTGCGGGTAGACAAGCGAGCCGCCCCATGTCCGTTGTAGAAGGTGGAAGAATGGAGCATCCCGGGCAGCACCCGAGGCCATGAGAAACGGCTTCCCCGGGCAGACTAGCGAGCTGCTTTTTCTTTTATTATTGTTATTGTTATTGTTAATAATTATTGTTATTATTGTATTATTGTTATTATTGTTATGATTTTAGCGCCGCCCCTTAAAAAACATGGAAACCCATTGGTTGTTAAGCAACTGAAAACAGAGGCCGCAGCTACTGTTACGTGTACTATTGGTCTCAAGATAAGGGTCCAGGCGACCTGTAGGTTTGATGCGGTGAATACCCCCACCTTCGCCACACTCGCTCGGTGCTACGGAGCTCCGATCTCGCGACCGGTCACCTGTACTTGTAGACTGTACCGCATGACATAGCAGTTGAGCGGGCCAGCGGAGCTTAGGCGGAAACTAGCGCCGCGTTTGACAGAGAAGGACGCTCACCATTCCGCCGGGAGGGCCGCTCGCCATTTTAACTCCATGTAGCGCCTCGCTGACAATGAAAGACACTGCATGAGGACGACACTACAAGGTTCGGCAAAAATTAAGTCCACTACTTATGACAACACTTTCCGGTTCCTAATCGTGTCTACACCTGAGGGATGACGATTCAGGCTGCACTCCTGCATTGCACGGTCATTGGCCGCAGAACATGAGGTGACGAACGGACCTCGGGTCACGGATCACCGAGATATGGCCAGTTTCACAGAGATTGTCGACCTGAACGGCTGCGTCGCTAAATGAAGGTCTGAAATTTTTATCAAGGGAGCTGAACCAGACAGTCGGCATGCTCCAGGCCGAAATGACACAGCGTGTCATAGCTGATTGGTTGGGACATCTGCCTGTTGTTTTTGTTTGCAAGTCTTAATTATGGGCGAACTGTCTGCACTGTCCGGTGTTGGTGGGATA